TTCGTAAATACTCAGTATTATATACAAATCATCAGTAAATAGATTAAGCTATTAGTATAAAATTTGTTCAGAAAATTAAATAACTAGTTCTATGTTAATATTAAAGTATTAGTAATTAATACAGTTTACACATTTACAAATTCATTTACTCATCAAATAAGAAATACTTTTACATAAGTAATCATTTTAATTTTTTTCATGAAAACATTCTAATGTAAATAACAGTTTGCTTTAAGGTATTTTTTCAACGTTCTCTTTTGTAAATATAGTTCAGATATTCTTTCTTTTCATCATGTTTTCCTCTAAGTATTATTAGTTTTTTTTTTCTAGTTTGTTCAAAATATATGTATATAAAATAAAAGATATGCTTTAATATTGATATATTATACCAAACAACGTGATCAATATATCTCATTGTATTTGAAAATGGCAATGATGATGAAAATCATTGAAGTACTCGTTGATGTTTCTAACGAGGAGATAGATACAAACGAAATTGGATAAAAGAAACAGGGTTTAACTCTATCATAAATAGAGATGTACCAATGTCGAATTCTATTCTTGGCTTAAACTTGTTCTTAACAAAATTAGTATCAAATTAATAATTTATTTAAATATGTTGACTATTAACAATTCTAGAACAATCAAATCCAGTCAAATCTAAGAATTAGGTTTAATTGAAAATTGATTTGGTGCATTCCTCATGATAAATGTTAAAACATATTTGGATATAGTCTCTTTCATCATCTATGCCAATGCAGTCACATCGGTAATCATAAAATAATATGAAGAGATAGATTTATATGGAATTATATGATGAATAATTTGTTCCACAATAAAGGAGATAGATATTAAACTAATGTCCGCGCCAGAATTAAAGAGGGGTTGGTGTCAATTGAATAACTCAACAATGGCAAAAGCTAGCGACCTGCGGCTTTCACCAATCGAAAGAGGAGATTGGGGGACATATTTTATCACGATATTGTTTCGGACCAAATTGTTTTGGACACTGTCGTTTCTGGAAATCATTTCTGAGAAGACATACAACTGGCATACCAATACAATGTATTTTTATTTTGATATTCTCATTAGATAGAGGAAT